AGACAGTGTGAGTATTTTTATTAAATAAATCTCCGATATACACGATCTTTGCTTCAATATACATGACCCTAATGCAGCACATTGGCCATAAACATAATCCGGTAAGCAAGGTTAACAGCGCGTCCTGATCAGAGCTGTAAGCCTAAGATCAATAGCAACCGAGTAACTTACAATCAGTCAGTCAACTCTAGTTTACATTAGAAGAGCTGTACCGGCATTTGAATCAATTATCAATTCCTAAATTCTCATAATTAAGATAACTCTCGAATTATCCAACACACTCGCGTAAGAAGATAGTCCAATACACTTAATATATATTGAAGGTCTCTGTAAATGGTAAATGAAACATCGAGACTTGTCAATATTAATTATTAACGGAATACATATTACCACATATTAGCAATAGCTACTTGAAATACACACGTTACTACTACATATACAATATTACAAATCCATGTTCTATCGTTAGATCGATTAAGTAAGAATCCCTAACTCAACACCAACCTACTAATCATCCATTTAGCTTTACCACCTATTTTACAGCATTATTAGTCGTCCGTCCTCTAATTCAGTTTAGCTATTAATGCGGGTTTGAGGTCATTTTTTACTTCTTTCTATTTTTTCATTTATTGGTTAGTTGCAACACAAATAATAATATTATATGTAGGTGCCATATGCAGGAATGACATTTAGTGTGTATGACAGGGTATTAACATAACTAAACCTCTTATTTGTTTGTTTCTTTAAGAACTTCTTCAATCCCTTAACCAATCTTAATCAACTCATTGCATCTTTAACAAAAATAATTACCATTTTTCTATACAGGTTCTACGCAAAATTCATTTCTAATTCGAAATTTCTCCCTGGAAATATGTTTTTAATCTATCTATATACTCCTTATATGTCTTCCTATTCTCTAAGCTTTTTTAGCTGTCAATAAATTAGATCGCATCTTGTCCATCAACCACTGTGAATATTCCAAACGGCTTAAATATAAGAAGAACTCCTCTTAGCTGTTTTACACGGTCAGAAATTCAATTTTCACACTAAATGGATATACTTCTTCAGGAAATTGTTTTCGTTCGTTTCCTTTCTACTTCGTGCATCAGCGTTCCATTAATTTTACGGGAGCGGTTGTTTTCGTTTCTGTTTTCTTTTTGCATTACTCTTTAATTTACCTTGATATTATTACTTGTGTACCGTCTTTGTTCCGTCTGTTTGTTCGGTGCGGCTGGTTTATAATTTATATGAGGGTTATAGAGAGAGAAGGAGGAGTGGGTAAGGAGGGGGAGAGAGAGGCGGGGGAAATAAAGTCAAGAAAGATAGACGTCGGCGCGCATGTGTGCGTGCGTGAATGGTTTGTGCGCGCATCGTGTGCCGTGCGTGCGTGGTGTGGCGCGAATAGTGTGCGCTGCGTGCGTGCGAGCGTGCGTGCCGTGCGTGCTGGCGTAGTGCGTGTGGTGTGTGCGTGTGGTGTGGTGTGTGATGTGTGTGTGTGTGTGTGTCGTGTGTTGTGCTGTGGTGTGGTGTGTGTGTATGTGTGTATCGTGCTGTGTGTGTGTTGTGTGTTGCGTGTGTTGTGTGTGTGTGTGTGTGTGTGTGGTGTGTGTGTACAGTGTGCGTGTGTGTGTGTGTGGGTGTGCTGTGGGTGTGTGTGGTGTGTGTGTGTGTTGTGGTGTGTGTACGTGTGCTCGTGCGTATGTCCGTTCATGGCGCGGCTGCGCGGCTGCCAGTGTGTGTTGTGTGTGTGCGTTAGTGGCGTAACACGTGCGTATGTGTGTACAGTAGGCTGTCGTAGGCATATATACACTTTACACGCACATGCAAGCATCGCAACGACTTTCTCCCTTATATAAAGGAACTTTCTTGTGTGGACGTGAGAAGGATAAGGCGCTCGCGCAAATCTATCGCTTGGCAGTTAGTAATTACGTCAGCGAATCAGCCATTGTCTGCCAGTCCGTGACGCCATCATTCGTGAAAGACTGTTCGTTAAATACAAAGGCTTTTCTGAGCTGTGCTCGTAGCAGAAATAACGGATAACGTGTGGCCACCGTGTCGCGTCCTAGTCGAGGTGTTCTGAACTTGTGATGTAACTGGACAACCGGTCACAGGTTCATGTCGAATATGTGACCCTTTTAAGCGCTGCCTTGGCTGCTGTGAGAATGAGAAGGTTACATATTGGCAAGAGGCAGAGAAAACTCAGTCATATGTGTTTGGATATCAATGGTGCCGCATCGGAGATCTACATAGTGCCGTAAGAAATCGTGCGGTTACGTATGACTTCTTCTTTCCTCTCGCCGCACGCTGACAACATCGCGTGAAAAAGAATTTCGATATGGCGAGTGTCAGAGTTAGTCTTGTATGCCAGAATTTACCTGTTGTACGAAAGTGATATACGTGAGGCATTTTCCATCAAGTGTTATATTCCTAAAAAGTGATGTACAAAGATAAACAAGCGAGAGTTTCGTATATCAACATGCAATGTAACGCCCGAAAATATTCGTAGCACGTGTTTCTTTTTTCAGTATCCCCACCCCCCCCAGCAGCCAGTGGTACGATCAGCTGGTCTCAACAGTTCTATGCATGTAGCCGTAGCATTGAATATCATATTGTTTATCGATATTGTTGTTTCTAGTTATGTTTGAATGCACGCGTGCACAGTTTCTGCTTCATTACTGTGCGCATGTGCTACGTGGAGTGGCCGCGCGTGTGCGTGAAGATGTGCGTGCGGTATGTGCGTGCGTCGTGCGTGCGGTATGTGCGTGACCGGGTGTGCGTGGCGGGTGTGCGTACGGAGTTAGGTTGCGCGTGCCTGCGGTATTGATGTTGCAACTATACCAGTTACTTACAGCATCTGTAGGCAGGTTAAGTGCATCTCTTTTCCAGCATTGATACCTCTTCTATCAGCAAAGAATTCGTGTCTTATGTTAAGATGGCAGATGCTGCAGCGGGCAAGTAGAGAGGATGCGCTGTAATTTTGGCTACGCAACAGGAGAGAAGCTAGAACCTACCAAAAGATGTGACAAGAGACGGTTATCATGCACCTGAGTTCGAGGACGCTGCAGCTGCATGAAACGGTGAAAGCTGGCCCAAGGCATCAGGTAAGAAGAAAGAGAGAGAAGAAGAGAGAGAGAGAGAGAGAGAGAGCACGAGAGTTAAGAGGAGTAAGAGAGAGAGAGAGAGAAGAGAGATGGAGAGAGAGGAGAGGAGAGAGAAAGAGGAGGAGAGAGACGAAGGAGAAGAGAGAAGCGAGAGCTTCTCTGCGTATATTAGTCATTATGTTTATAAAGTCTTATCTCGCGTTGTTGGACATCAGTATCAGACCCGATCCTGCAAGCTGCACGCGCTGTGCTGTGAATTGAAAGTCGACGGGACTAGACACCTTCCAACCCAGTACCAGCTCGATCGGCTGGAAGAAGACCAGACTAGATTCTCGACGATAAGGCTTGCTGTTCAACGATCGAACGAGAGCTGTGCTCGAGAAATCACGCCTTGATACGTCTGATCGTCTGGCAACGATGAAGTCGATTTGCCTCAGAGATGACAACGAACTCAGAAATGTCCTCAGCATCCTTCTCCTTCTACCGCCCCTCGACTATCTTCCCTGCCACCTTCCCTCAGTTTCCCACCCCTCTCTCCCTCAGCAAGCTATATTTACATACTTTTTCTTTGGCCGTACTGCACGTCTGAAACGGTGCTCGCGCATGCGCAATATCTCCTGAGAATAATAATATTTTGCAAACATTATGAATTTAAATTGAAGAGAAGTTATCCTAGCATTGATTTATATGATATAATTGTATCAGTAGACCTCACTTCAGAAATAGGGTGCAGACCTTGCATGTAAGTTTCCCGCTGCATATACCATTAAGTACATAACCTGGCTACGTTACTGTTTTAGCGCATGCGCAATATCCCACCAGACGAGTTTTATTTTGTGATGAAAATGCATTTAATATGGTCAGGGGGTATCTCGGCATCGATTTCTGTAATAAATTCTGATCAATAGACCTGTGTTTATAGTTAGGAGAGCGCCCTAGCCAGTAGGGTGCATAACTCCTACGTTATCCTCGCCCGCTCTTCCCTTTGTCTCCATTTTCGCAGGCTCAGCCTTCTTCTCCATCCACCTCCCCTCGATTGTCTTTCCTGCCACCTTCCCTTAGTTCCCCACCGCTTTCTCCATCAACAAGCTATATTTACGTACTTTTCCTTTGGCCGTACTGCACGTCTGAAACGGTAATCGCGCATGCGCAATATCTCCCGAGAGAAAGAATATTTTACAAACATTATAAATTTAAAATGAAGAGGAGTTATCCTAGCATAGATTTATATAATAAAATTTTATCAGTAGACTTTACTTTAGAAATAGGAAGCAGACCTTGTATGAAAGGTTCCCACTGCATATACTAGTCAGTACATAACCTGACTACGTTACTGTATTAGCGCATGCGCAATATCTCACCAGAGGAGTTATATTTTGTGATGAAAACGCATTTAATATGGTCAGGGGGTATCTCAGCATCGATTTCTGTAATAATTTCTATTTCGAAGACCTGTGTTTATAGTTAGGAGAGGGCCCTAGCCTGTAGGGTGCAAAACTTCTACTTTATCCCCGCCCGCCGTTCCCTTTGTCTCCATTGTGGCACGCTCATCCTTATTCACCTCCCACCGCCCCTCGACTGTCTTCCCTGCAACCTTCCCTCAGTTTCCCACGCCTCTCTCCCTCAGCAAGCTATATTTACATACTTTTCCTTTGGCCGTACTGCACGTCTGCAATATCTCTCGATAATAATAATATTTTGCAAACATTATGAATTTTAAATGAAGAGGGGTTATCCTAGCAAATATTTATATGATAACATTTCATCAGTAGACCTCACTTCAGAAATAGGAAGCAGACCTTGCATGTCAGTTCCTCGCTGCATATACCATTAAGTACATAACCTGACTACGTTACTGTTTTAGCTCATGCGCAATATCTCACCAGACAAGTTACTTACCTGAATGCCTGGGCCAGTTTCACACGTTTCACTGCAGCTGCCAGCGTCCTCGAACTCAGTGCAGATAACCGTCTCGTTGTCACATCTTTGGTAGATTCTAGCTTCTCTCCTGTTGCGTAGCCCCAAAATTACGGCATCCTCTCTACTTGCCCGCTGAGCATCTGCCATCTTAACATAAGACACGAATTTTTTACTGATAGAGAGGTATTCAATGTTGGAAAAAGAATGCACTTAACCTGCCTACAGATGCTGTAAGTAACTGTATAGTTGCACAAATACCGCCAAGCACGCGCCAACGTACTCCCGTACGCACACCCGCACGCACACCCGCACGCACATACGCACGCACACCCGCACGCACATACGCACGCACATCTTCACCCACACCGGCACTCGCACGTAGCCACATTCGCACATGTGCACGCGTGCACTCAACATAACAGAACAACAATAATCGCTAAGCAATAATGATATCAATGCTACGCTTACCATGCATAGAACTGTTAAGACCAGGATCGTAACCACTGCTACTGAAAAAAAGAAACACGTGTACGAATATTTTCGGGCGTACATTTCATGTTGATAAACGAAACTCTCGCTCTGTTATCTTGTACCAACTTTTAGCATATAACCAATTGATGAAAAATGCCTCACCGTTATCATTCGTACAACAGGTAAATTCTGGCATAACAATGACTAACCTCTGACACTCGCCATATCGAAATTCTTTTCACCGATGTTTTCACTGCAGCTCCAAAGAAAGAAGTCAACGTCACGACGATGTTCTTACGGCACTATGTAATCTCCGTGCACATTGATTCCAACACCTATGCTGAGTTTTCCTCTGCCCCTTGCATTTAACCTTCTCATTCTCACAGCAGCAGAGGCAGCCTTAAAAGGGTCACATATTCAATGACCGTGACCGGTTGTCCCAGTTACATCACAAGTTCAGACACCGACTATAGGACCGCGACACAGGTGGCCACACGTATCCGTTATTTCTGTACAGAGCACAGCTCAAGAAAACGCCTTTGTTTTAGGACAGTGCCTTCCACGAATTTATGGGTCACTGACTGGAGACAATGGCTGATCGCTGACGTAATTACTAACTGCCAACGGATAGATTTGGCGAGCGCCTTACCTTCTCACGTACCAACAAAAAAGTTCACTTTATTATAAGGGCAGAAAGTCTTGCAGATGCTTGCACTTGCCTGTAAAGTGTATATATCCATGACCGCTACTGGTACACACATACGCACGTGCACGCACACGCACACACACACACACACACACACACACACACACACACACACACACACACAAGAATCCACATCACACACAACATACACATACACACACAGCCCAACCACAACACACACACACACACACACGACAGCAGCACACACACACACACACACGACACACACACACACACATGTCACCACACACCATCACAAACAACACACACACACACCACAGCGCACGTACGCAGCACAACGTCACCGCACGGCACGCACGCACACATCGCGCACAACACGCACGCACGGCACGCAACACATGCGGCGCTAACACATCACTCAGCACGCACGCACTCACGCTCTATCTTCCTTAGACTTCTCTCTCTCTCTCTCTCTCTCTCCCTCTCTAAATACACACGCGCACACACAAACGCGCGCACACACGCACGCACACACGTACATAATACTCGTACGCATAAACGCACGTACGCACGCACCCACGCTCGTACACATTCACGCACGTATGCACGTAGACGCCCGCACGCACCCACTCTCTGAAATTCAGATATCCACTTATACGTGGAAAATGCCATTTTTGACGCTCGTCAAACGTAAAGAAGGAGTTCTTCTCATATTTAACGGTTGGAAATATTAACAGATTGTGATGGCGATGCGTCTAACTTTATTGACACGCTGAACGACCAGCTTAATGCGGAATAGAGCAAGACCATATAAGCGAGTATAATAGATATGATTAAAAAAACATAATTCATGAGAAATTTGCACCTAGAAATGCAATTTGGTAGCAACTGTCTCGAAAACGGGTACAGTTCTTTTTGTAAAGCTGAATGACGTTGCTTGAGATTGTTAAGCGGATATAAGAACGTTCTTAACGAACACCATATCAAAAGCGTATTAAGTATGTTACATACTGTCATACTAAGATGTACTTCTGCATAAGCCCCTACTATAATATTATTATTTTGTGCTTGTCTCCACTAAATGAAAAAAATAGAAAGAATAAAAAATGACTCCCGATTAATAGCCTAAACTGAATACAGGAACCGCGACCGTATACTGCTGCTATAGGTGGCCTAGCTATGGGATATTGGTAGGATTGGCTAGTCTCGAGTTCCAGAGAATCCTGTCATTCCATATCAGATCCTACACGCATGCACATGGATTAAACGTAGATATGTAATATGTAAGGCTAGTACACACGCGCTCGCTATCTCTCCAGTAGATATTGATATATGTGGTAGATATGTACATTCGTATATACATTATATATACATATCGTATATATTTACGTGCTAATATTTAGGTCGTATTGCACGCCTGAAACGGTGCTCGCGCTTGCGCACTATCTCCCGAGAAGTATCTTATTATGAAAGAATATAGATTGATATGACAAAATTCCATCAGTAGACCTCAATTCAGAAATAGGAAGCAGACCTTGCATGCAAGGTCTCCGCTGCATATTGGCCCCTAACAGTCAGTATATAACCTGAATACGTTACTGTTTTAGCGCATGCGCAATATCTCACCAGAGGAGTTAGATTTTGCGATTAAAATGCATTTAGTATGGTTAGCGGGTATCTCAGCATCGATTTCTTTGATAAATTCTTATCAGTAGACCCGTGTTTATAGTTAGGAGAGCGCCCAAGCCTGTAGGGGGCAAAACTCCTACTTTATCTCCGCCCGCCCTTACCTTTGTCTCCATTGTCGCACGCTCAATCTCCTTCTCCATCCACCGCCTGTCGACTGTCTTCCCGCCCACCTTCCCTCAGCTTCCCACCCCTCTCTCCCTCAGAAATCTATATTTACGTACTTTTCCATTGGCCGTACTGTACATCTGAAACGGTGCTCGCACATGCGCAATATCTCGCGAGAAAAATAATATTTTGCAAACATTGTAAATTTAAGATAAAGAGGGGTTATCCTAGCATAGATTTATATGATAAAATTTTATCAGTAGACCTCACTTCAAAAATAGGAAGCAGACCTTACATGTAAGGTCCCCGCTGCGTATACCATTAAGTACATAACCTGGCTACGTTACTGTTTTAGCGCATGCGCAATATCTCACTAGAGGAGTTATATTTTGTGATGAAAACGCATTTAGTATGGTCAGGGGATATCTCAACATAGGTTTTTGTAATAAATTCTTATCAGTAGACCTGTGTTTATAGTTAGGAGAGCGTCCTAGCGTGTAGGGCGCAAAACTCCTACTTTATCCCCGCACGCCCTTCCCCTTGTTGTCCTTGTCGCACGCTCAGCATCCTTCTCCTTCTACCGCCCCTCGACTATCTTCCCTGCCACCTTCCCTCAGTTTCCCACCCCTCTCTCCCTCAGCGTCCTAGCCTGTAGGGTGCAAAACTCCTACTTTATCCCCGCCCGCCCTTCCCTTTGTCTCCATTGTCGCAGGCTCAGCCTCCTTCTCTATCCACCGCCCCTCGACTGTCTTCCCTGCCATCTTCCCTCAATTCCCCACCCCTCTCTCCCTCAGCAAGCTATATTTACATACTTCTTCTTTG